GCATGTTTCTGAATGTGAACTAGGATGGGGGTTATTCCACTATTTCGTCCCAATTGTTCGCCTGCTTCCCCTTTGCATGTATATCCAAAATATACTCATCCTTCGACCCTGGGTGGTAGATATAGTACTTCCTTGTGAGGGGGTGGGCCAATTTTGAGTAGCTGGGACAAGCATATTATAAATACAAGTATTCAGCCCTGTTTTGTTCACTATTTTCACCCGGGAAAATGAATATCACTGAGCACAGAAAAAAACAAAAACAGAAAATGTCAAATTTCATATTTTTTATAATCCCTAGAAACTTATTCAAAATATAGTTTGGGGCTGTACTTAAGTGAATATCTAACATATTTACCTTATTTAAAGGGAGCCCATTAGTTGTGAAAATGTTTTAATGGCAAATTGTTGTTTCAACTTTATTTTAATGATTTGGAATATTTTCATTCCATGTATTTCTTCAAAACAGCATTTATCTTCCAAACAATAGTGGAATGATAAGAAGAAACACAAAACAAACAATAAACAACATTTGAAATATATGCTTTGCAGAAAAATGCATCCTTCAATAAAAATACTTTGAAGATTTGTGTTAAAATAAAGCAATACAACTTCCACAAATGCTTGAGAAAAACATTTGAGCTGCTATTTATATTGTTTGTTTTGAATCGGCTATCTGTCCATTTTTATGGATACAACAATTTCAGACAGTAATTTTTGCTCATTTTCAAGTTGGCAATAATTTTCGAGTTCACTGCATTTAAATATAGACCCAATTAACTGCTGGAAAGTATTCTATATTAAATCTTCCCACTATCTAAGCAATGGTAACAATTTTGGAAAGTATTTTCTCACAATTTAACTAAATACTTAGATATAGCACCCTTTTCACCTATAACTTCCAGTTTGCTCATTATTATTTCAAACATTATTATATATACTGAAAATGAAAGGTAATTCTTTGTTTGCAAAATTATTATTTTTTTATTACTTTTTTGTATCTAGAAGAATGAATGTTCTGTTGAAAGTGAGACTGTGCTAAAGCAATTCTGAGGAGCAGCTCAACTTCTCTTCCTTTGGCCTGTCAGCCTTTCTTTTTCTTTCTCTTCTTTCCCATGTATTCTCTCGCAAAGACAAAGTCCTCTTTGTATACACAGAGATTCTGGCAACAGTGTACAGAGCTTTTAAACTCATTTGAATGATTTTAATTTCTCCTTTTCCATGCCTGATAGTTTTTTTTCTCACCTTTTCATATAACATGCTATCCCTTAGCAACATAGAGGGCTGTTGAATCTATGGTGTTTTTTTTTTTTTTAATTTAGTACAGTGTCAGTAAAAAGGAATTGGAGAGTAATGAGCCTCCTTCAGCTTATTATGCTGACACCATTCCATGATAACACTGCTGTTTTCAATACGTAGTACTGCTGACTATTGATTAATTACCACTCCATCAGAGAGCACTGTTGGGGAAGTACCCAGAGTAAACCCATAATGTATGGAGAACATGCAATCCCCAACCACTGAGCCAGCAGTGAGAACCGAACCTACAGTCCTAAAGGTGAAAAGCTGCCATGACATCCACAGACGTTAACGCAATAAATAAAATTCTTACTATTTTGACCATAATTCCGATAAAAGATGGAGGTAGGCATGTTGATTTCTCATTAAATAATAGTTTAAAAAGTATAGAAAACTCGTTGTCCTCTGGAAAAATTCAGAGAGTTCCCAAACCTATTAAAAGCCAAGTATGACGGTACAAAATATTATACAGTGGTGGGGGCAAGCTTGTTATTTGAGGAGGATGCATGAAAGTATCTTTTTTCTCTCTTGCCAACTTCTCTGTGACTTTTTTGTTTTCCATGCATTTATTCTCATTTATTCTTATTCCTCTCTGCATTTCTCGATGCCTTTTATGTCATTTGTACTAATTTGACACGCACATTTCTCACTGTATAGTACGTTTTTGTTCTATTTACTGCCTTTTAAAGCTATTCCTTTTATTGGCACAGAGTTGACAAATTAATATTCTGGTTTATTCACTCATGACAACCTTTCAACTGTTTCAGGTTTTATCAAAGAACATTTTTAAGTGAGTTGTGTACTGCAATCCAACCATGGTTTCCCACTCTATGACATTCTCAAAAGATTCTAATTATTGACATTAAATAGATTATTATTTCCACTCAGTTGATTTAGTTTTAAATCTTTGGTAGTTGTTAGGACTATGTGTTTTATCCATAGTTAAAATCATGTAAATTCAGAACATTTGGAATGACGATCCTGCTAATGTTTCCCTAATAATCACAAATTTTTCAATGTCCATCATTATAAAAATGGAGGAAATCTATGGTACCCACAATAACAATGTGTTTTAGAATTATGCAGAGATGTTTTCGCTTTTGTAGAATGAAAGACTTACATCTCCTTTTATAAAAGTAATCTGAATCTTCACCCTTCTCTTGGCACAATGTCTCACAGGTTCTCCCCCGTGATTTCCTTGTATTTGGACTCTATCCATCCTGCCCTTGATGGTAACAGGCTTTGTAGTTCCAGGAAAAAAAACCATAGCATGATGCTGCCACCACCATGCTTTATGGCAGGGATTGTGTTACCTGGGTGATGGGCTGTGTTTAGTTTGGCTTTCAGGCCATAGTGTTTCTGCTTTACTTTTCTTCCAGAAGATTTTAGGGTCTGTCACATGGCTTTTGTCAAACTCCAAGCTTGACTTAGTGTTGCCCTTACTCAGAAGTGACTTCCATCTTGCCACTCTCTGAAAGAGGCTGAAACCATGACCAGCTGAAAAGGCTACTGGTCACTGGACAGTGTTTCACATTTCAGTCGACGTGGCCAGCAGTTCTGCTGCAGGTGTCGTAGGTGGTTCACGTCACTGATAGTTGCATTTCTCATCCAGTTCTTTTGTAGGACGGCCTTACCTTTGTAGCGTCTGAGTTGTGCGGTGTCTCCATTGTCTTATAATGGACACGACTGTGAAGGTGGCCTTGGATTTATTACTAGCACTAAACATGTCAATTGAATTCGTTCCTCTTTGTCAGTGTGAGGAATAGATCACACTATCATTGTGAACTGCAGGTGTTTAGTATAAATGATTGCGAGCTTTGTTTTTTGTAACCTGGCTCCCATGCTGGGTTGTAGAATGAAGCTTAAAAAGGTGATTCTAAAAATCCCAGTTCATGCTTATTAAAAGAAAGTGATAGTCCATTAGTTTTTAATGGACTAAAAATTTACATTTAGAGCCTGGGATGAGTGTAAAATTCCTGTCCAACCTACCTCACCTTGTAAGGCATTTAATTTAAGCAAGTGTACTTTAACCTTTGCTTTTTATCCAATTCGAAATACAATTAAATGTAGCTATATTGCCCACAGGTGTGACATATAACAATGATAACACTTTACCTGAGGGGGCAAAAGTAACATACGAATCATCAACAAATACAGTAACTGCAGATAATACATGAACTGCTATGATTCGCTAAGGATGAATGAACAAGCGATCAGTACGTAACACTTAGCTGCTGGGTAATTAAATAAATAAAAGTGTACTAATACATTATTTGTGCCCCCACAAGTAAAGTGTTACCATGAGAATATTAAAGGTTAAAATCACTGCAATATATTTTTCAGTAACTTCATGTCAGAGGAACAGTCTCCAGAACTTAATGTTGTTATTTGGCTTGTCTTACTTTTCTTACTGCGTCTGATTTCTTTAAAACAAATAATGTTTCTATAACATACAGCTACCATCAGAACGCAATCACTACAAATGAAGGAATCTACTTCATTTCTGCATCAAGAAGTTCTGAATTAAAAGTCAAATGCTTCTTTCAGAAAAAAAGCAATCAGCGCCGCTACCATAGCATACAAATTAAACTTTGTATTTGAGTAAAAAAAAATAAAATAAATAAATAATTATTTCTGCATTATCATTGCTGCTAGGTGACACAAAATGATACAAATAAATCTCTAGAAAGGTTCACTTCTAAAACCAACCATGAGAACCATTGTCAATTTCATGTCAGAGAGTTAGATGAAAGCAGAACAATATATCCATATATTTCCCATGACAGAAATGCTCTCCCAGAATGCACTGGGCCAAGGCAGGGATACATCCTGGATAGACTGCCAGTCCATCTCTGGATACACACAAACACACAGTCTGGGCATTTTAGAAGCACCAATTGTGGGAGGAAACAGGATGGGTTTCACTCCCCAGTCCAGATAGTTTGAGGTACCCACTAAGTACAGTATGGTTTATATTTTCATTCATTCATTCATTCATTCATTTTCTGTACTACTTTGTCCTATTCAGAGTCATTGGTATTAACAAAAAATTAACCAGTCAGGTTTATCTACCTTTTTAATAAAACATAATATCAGGCCTTAAACACCTTTTTCACAGTCCAGATGAGTCCAAAGTAAATGAAATGGGTTTCCAAAAACATACAGACTGTCCTTAAATTTCTCATGGTATATGGCTGTCCTTAAATTTCTCATGGTATTTGTCGTTCTTGCCCCCTTGTAGGTACTTTGATTTCTAAAAATAGCTTTTCACTGTCGTTCACCAGTGAATTTTTGATGATTTTTTAAACCCGGCATAAGGCCCATGCAGAATAGCCCGCTCATCATAAATGATATGAAATAGCATCCATACATACAATATTAGCTAAAATAAAGAATTAAATTCTTACTGAAACAATAAGAAGGTTCAGAATAATTGCTTGTTCTTATGCCTGTGCAGGCCGGTCTTCAAGTTAAAAAAGATGGAGCAGGATTTGGAAAATGTTATTTATATATTAGAAAGCCGTTTTCATGGGCAATGATGCTTGACTAAATATTCAAATTAGAAGACAAGAAGAAGGGAAAGCAAAGCGCTCTTGCTAAGAATGAACAGTTTGTGAAACATTTCCTAATTGTTAATGAGGGGGAAGCTGGCAGGCTGCCAAATTTTCCCAGGGGCCAATAATAAGGGCTAGTCTTTGAGGCCCGAAGGGAGGGCAGTAGCTGTGGGGACAGGAGGGATTCTACCTGGACTCATTGCTATAAATTTGGAATAGCAGAGAGCAAGACTCTCTCCCTATATACGCACATCTGCTGCATTTACGACTTGGGATAGCACAGTGCACTTCTTCCTGCACATCCATCCATATAATTCATCTTGTTTATTTATACATACTTAAAGGTCTTGTTGATGTCTGTTCCACAGAGAGGAATCATTTTAAGAGAAAAGCAATCAAGATGTTGCCAGTGAAGCCTTCGCCGCCACCACTTGTGAAGTTACCTCCACCTGTTGCACAGGTGACAGATCCTGTTAATATCTGTCCACCTGTGAAGAAGATGAGTGGTTCTGGGGATGAAGACAAATTGGAGAGCCGGACAGCAGCCATTGCTTCTCAGTCTGTAAGATGCAGTATTTTCCCTTTTGTGGTCTCCCCAGACACAGAACGAATCCGATTCATGTTAAAGGAGGAGGACGAGGTCCCAGCGACACCCCAGCTCTTCACTGAACTGGATGAGCTGCTGGCTGAGGATGGGCAGGCGATGGAGTGGAAAGAGACAGCAAGGTAAACGCTCTGTGAACACAAACCCGGTAGCACAAGCACAGAGCTGACAAGGTGCACTAGCTAAACTCTTGGATAGATTTATTTAGAAAGCAATGTTTTTACTCTCAGATTAAACTGCTGTATGATTTTCTCTCAATTTACTTTAGCCCAGACAGTAATTAACTTTGAGAATTAAGTGAGATAAATGTATATGTCAAATTGTACTGGATGAAGATAGGTGGATCGCTGACTACCACAATAAATATTAAATTAGTGAAGGTAATTTACTATAGCTATAAACCAAAGCCACCAAATAAACTATATCAAATCATATTTAGACAATTGAAATATTTTACATAATTTATTATCAGGTTAAAAGTTCAGTATATTTCATAATATATCAGTATATGTATTATGTGTGTAAAGTTATTCTACTTAAATGTGTTAAGGTAAATATATTGCACAATTAGCTGAATATTAATTGAAATGCAAGTTTTAATCCCTAAGAATAATTCTACAATAAACATATCTGACCGCTTTATGATCATTGTATTCAGTTTTTGTGGTCTAGTAAATAAGTTAGTCTATAAATAGTATAAGATTGTTTGTTGTTAGTTAAATGTTTGTAACACATTAAAGCATCTGCTTGGGTCAATATGTATATATGTATCTTGTACATACATACATGTATCTTCTTGTAGTCTGTATCACTTCTGTTAAGATTCAATGTACTTCTTTAATGGAAAGGACTGTTGCATTTTCAGTGTTGAGATTTTACTGAACTTTAGACAGCACATTTCTGTAAAATTATCTTAAACAAATTTTTTTAAATTAAATAATATGTGCAAAACTAATTTAATTTCACTGAAAAGATGTTCCAAGTATTGTTTTCAATGGGCTCAAACTAAGAATGTCTACATGACAAAATCAAATTTTACTGTGGAACTATTACTTAATTTTTAAATTTCTATAAAATTTGAAATCATTTAAATTGTGAATTTTAATGCAGTTCTATATTTTTCATTTAAGGTAAATAGTTCCCAAATTTTTAAAGATTTTATTGAATAAAATCTATGAGTACTCTATTAATCTATTAAAATTAAATTTAGCATGGCTGCCTTTCCATCAGCGTTCTTTGGTGAAATGGTTTATCATTACATGAAGTAGTGATACAGTTTCATAGTTTATTAGAAGATATTTGACCATAAATAGGTATTAATTTTGATTCACTCATAGTATATACTTATGCCATCCATGCATTGTGATATTCATGAATAGCATATGTTGTCAGTGCTACTGATTTAACATTTTCTGACCCAGAAATGCTTTTCATGTCTCCATAGGTGGGTTAAGTTTGAAGAAAAGGTTGAAAAAGGTGGAGAACGCTGGAGTAAACCTCATGTTGCCACATTGTCCTTGCACAGCTTATTTGAGCTGAGAACCTGCATAGAGAAGGGCACTATTATGCTAGACTTGGAAGCCTCAACTCTTCCCTTGGTTGTGGGTAAGCAATGAGAAAAAAACACACTTTTATAACCAAGTGATTATCCATGCTAAACCTCGCAGGAAGGAGCACTATACATTTAAATCAATCAATTTATTTTCCATCCTTTTACACCAGTACAAGATCAGGGTGAAAACTTGTCATTAAAATTCAAATTTGTTACAAGCATAAAAAACCAACATAGACACCTAATACTAATACTAACTTTAGTTAGACAAGGTCACCACTCAATGGTCACATGAGAACTGTTTAAAGGGGCAGTTCACTCCAAAATTGAAAAAGCATATGTTTTAGAGGGACATTAGTGCTATTTATCCATCTAGGTTGTTCTGCTGGGAGTTAGTTTTGGAGATATTGGCCGTACCACTCTTCTCTTGCATGTAATTGGACTGGATGGCATTCCTTCCATGTTGATTAAAGTGCCAAAAAAATACATCGGAAAAATTCAACAGCAACATCTCTTACCAGAAATCATGACCTTGGTTACTCATGATGTTGAGGTGTCATATTTTTTAATATCTGTAATTAGGGGCGCTCTAATGTATAATGAATGGGTTTGCCCAGGTTGCTGCCAAGGGGCTACCACTAAACCCCCCTCAGTTGTCAATTTGAACCACTGCCACTCCCCATAACCCCCTCCCCCCACCCCCTAGGGGGCCCCAGACAACTGAAATAGCCTCTGTCTGTAATGCTTTCAATAAATTGGTATAATGAAAAAGATGTTACCCATATAGAAAACTATGCCATATTTGTTGTGCCTAATTATCCAGTTTGACCCTTGCAGTGTGGGGGTCCTCTGGGGGTCCTCATGGAGTCCCAGATGACCTTGGCTTCACATCAACAAGACTCCTTTCCTATATGTTTTCTATATGTTTGTATAGTATATGCCCCATGTAACAACAACATTACACCAATCATTCCAATCAAGTCGAACATTTTGTGCCAAACATACTCAGGAGTACTAAATGTTATTATGAATGATAAAATGTTGATATATTTTACCTACAATATGAAAAAGTGGCAACCTGTCAGTGATTATTGACCTTAAAACAAGCTGTTCACTGCTGCAATTATTATTGGTTTTAAATGGCATTCTCATGGTTTCCCGAATTGCATTTTGCATCTATATGAGGAAATCCATAAATCTATGCGCTACACACTTGTGTTTTGAGTACAATAAACCATACCTATCTTTTCTCTTTTCATAGAGAACATCATTGACAGACAGATTGAGAATGGACAGTTGAAAGCTGACTTCAAAGACAAGGTTATGTTCACCTTGCTGCGTAAACATCAGCACCAGACAAAGAAGAGCAACCTACGCTCACCTGCTGACGCCGGCAAGACAGTCCCTAGTGCAAGTAGGGCTCTTTTCTAATCCAGATAATGCAGGTGCTAGTTGGGTGCACTTCTCATAAAGCAATGGCAGTCAACCCTGATCCTGGAGTGCTGGTATCCAGCGGGTTTTCTATCCTACCTGGTCTCTGACGAACCACACCTGATCTCAGGCAGGTAGCAACTCATCAGTTGGGATAGAAAACCTGTTAGATACTGGCACACCAGGATCAGGGTTGTGTAACCTGCTAAAGTGATCATTTTTTGTTGTTTGTGAACATGCTCTTCCTTTATTTAATTTTATTGAACAAAAATTATATTTAAGTAACATTAAATATTATTTTAATTTTGGATACAGTTCTGGAGTGGGTTCTCCTACAAAAACAAATGTTGAATATTTGTTGAAAGTTTGAATATACCTGTAATCTTATCAATACTGATGATTATTCTGTCTGAGATGGTGGGTTTAGTAACAGTCCGACAAATTTTCTGCATTTTATATCTAGTTCAGTAACAAATTCTGATGGCCAAATGGTCTGAAAGTCAAATATGGAATTTCCACATTCCTGTTGCATATTTTGTCTTTAATTGTGTACTGTTAGCACCAAAGATCATTGATGTGCTGAACCCTCCTCCATTACATCACGGTTGGTGTGTGACAATTGACAACTGAGGGGGGTTTAGTGGTAGCCCCTTGGCAGCATAGGATTTTGTGCACCCGGTCAGAAGGTTACCAGTTCAAACCCTATTGGTAGGAGGGATGTCTGTGTGAGGGATTGATGGGCCCGAATAAAGTATCACTATTCTATGTGCTTGAATCAACATTTCTGTCCACTTGCACAAGTGCATATCCTTTTATTTCAAACAAGGATTCTGGCATTGTTGAAAGTAACCGGCTATTGGTAGAACACAGAAGTGACGCTTTGTGAAACTCAAAGCTGTAAGTTACATAAGCTTGCTGCGCTTCCAGCTTGTTGTCAAATGAGCGTAGTTTGGTGTGGATCATGGATGGAAGTGGAGGTCCCCGAGTTCATCCCCCTCTTTGTTGTCTTTCATAGCTGCTAGTGGATTAGGTCCAAGCTCCCTAAACCACATGACAACTGTTTCTCTCTATGTATGCCAAAAAAAAGTGAAGGACAGAGTTTGAGTGGTGCCTCTCGGGTGTATGAAACAGTGGGTCAGTTCTCCACATTCTGGCCACATTCTGTGTCAGTACGTCTCCTCTGTGTAGGCGGCCATTCTGTTTCTAGTCCACATAGAGATAGGACAACAAACATCAGTCCATTTTTCTGGTTTTCATACTGGACAGTAACACAGACAATAACATACAAAAAAAACCAAAATAAATATAATTATTATAAATTCTTATAACTGGCGTTGTGATCTTTCTTCTGCCTGTTGCTGGAAGTGAAGTCAGGACTTTGGCATTTCAGGATTTCTGGCTGTCCTCTCACATTCTCACACCATTCTGAAGGTTTAAAGGCTGGGGAATTTCCCACTTTTCAGATGAACTGATGAAGCCTCTCAGTTGAGGGGGGGGGGGGGGTATAACTTGATGGGATGCCGGTCTGTATTTACTACTGAGTACTACCTTTCTGCTGGGAGGCTACTTCATAAAATCCTTTTTTTCATAGCAGGCCTTTTAAATGACTTTATGTTCCTGCGTATTTATCAAGCAAAGAAATCAAGACGCAGTGGGTGAAACATCATGGTATTTTATTTAAGCACATTGTGGCTGATTAAACAAAGCCGTAATAAGACATTATTATCTGTCGACTCTCTGACATTACGGTGAACTGCCACCACAGCTTGCCTTGAATTGAATGTTCTCGTCATTGTCAAACCGCTCTAGTATAAACTTTGCATGATTCTTTTTCCACTATATTTTGCAAGGACTAAAATAATGCAAGAGTGGTTTGCAAGAGCACAAACTGTTAGAACCTAGTAAATGGGCCATTTTCATATCAAAATTTGTAACTGGCTGACAATGTAGTGCAGTCACTTTTTCAATAAATATTATAGAAGCAAAACCGTAGAATTTTAACTAACTAAGTCCATTCATGGATCCGTGTTTTCAGAGAGATCCAGTGGGAGTCAGCAGGCCTGAAAAGATTTGGCACTGTTTTGGACTGTGATTGATGAGAGTTGGAGTCAACTGAGTTTTAGCAGTAATCTATTATTGAGTGCTACATGTTACAAAAGGTGCACTGATTCACCTGCCTGGTGGTAAACTCTATATTGTGCTATAGAGTCCAGTTATTTGAGATAAACTGGACTATGTATGTGTACCTAGTTGATTGACTTCAGATGTTTCTCAGCCGAGAATCCATCCCCCAAACTTTCACAGTAAAGACTGTGTCTATGCTCTAGATCTCAAAGTTGCCATCAGGGCCCTTGGGAAAATTTGCCTACCTGGGAAGGGGGGGGGGGTATCTCTGTAAATTGTTGTGAATTTTGCATGACTGTCTGTTATCAAAAATGGTACTAAGTAAAAATAGTACTGGTATATTTTATTATTTGACTATATTGTGTAATGGCAACTGCAAATACAGCCCATTTTACATGCTACCTTCATTATCAAGTTTACTCTAGGAATTCACACCAAATAGAGTTTATAGAGGGTTTTATAGGATGGAAGCCCAATGGGGAAGACCTAAGCTTAAGATAAAAAAATAGCAAAGCCAAAGTAAATCTGTCAGTGCAGATTCAATCTACAATTTAATTGAATAGCAAACATTATAGAAAACCATTACAAATGCAAGGCTAGAATCAATACCAGGCAATGCCACCATGCAAAACCCAGAGAACACTGGAACATGACAACAATGATGACAGATTCAGCTCATGGACAGTAGCAAATGAGTGTTGCTTAGGAGTCAAGCCTCTCTGCTGCCATCAGGGGGGTATTCCATGAAAGTAGCTAAAAAAAGGCAGACTTTCCCGAAAAAGTCAGACTCAACCTACCTCCATCTCTAAACTTATCCTCACGTTGTTCCACGAATGCAGTTCAGTTTTAATTAATCAAGGTTCATTCAAGACAGACTTGAATAGTCTCACTTAGTGCGCACACCCGCGATATTTAAGAAGCCCAAATAAATGGATGGAGATCGACCAAACGAGTCGGAAAGCCTGTAAAACGAGAGCGGTGTTTCTTTCCGCCGCAGAATAAACGCTGCTGATGGAGTTGTGTGAAAAATGCAAAGATGTAATCGTTAAAAAAGGCAATACTGTGGCCATAAACACAGCCAGGGAGTTGGCTTGGCAATGAATTGCAGACAGACTAAATGCATAAGTTACGTAAATGTTACAAGTGCTTAGTACAGTGGCATGGTGGTACGTACAGTACAGTGGTTTATGCTGTCGCCTTATAATGCGAAAGTTGCTGGTTTGATCTTCATGGCCAACGACGAACCTTCTGGGTTGATTTCACCTGTCATTATTACTGTATAATATTATTTGATCTCCGTAAAATACTTTAAATCACATCCGTGTGAAATGTTCTGCACAAATAACCGTGTTATCTTTGCTATTTTAGTAGTAAACTTTCAAAGTAGACAGTGACTAAAAAAATAAAGATATCTTCCAGTTCATATTATTTTAACGGATTTTTTTTCCAATTACAGTCATTGCATTTCATGTTTCACCTTTGTAATATGCGTACGCTTTTATTTTACAGTAAAATACTGTTATAACGGACTTCAAGGGACCTGGCAAAACAGTCTGTTACTGTACGTCCAGAGTTGCTGTATGCCCAGAACACAACTGCAGGACACCATTTACTCATGCCACACCTCAGCAGACACACTTGTGGTATAGATTATTATATTGTACATGCAGTGGTGGAAGAAGTACTGAAGCTTAGTACTTAAGTAAAAGTACAAATATCCTGCAAAATATGTACTCAAGTAAAAGTAGAAGTGCTACATCAACAATCTTACTTAGGCCACATAAAATTAATAAATTATTTTACATGGCCGCCCGCCTCAATTTTTTGGTGCCGCCTCGATTTTTTTTATATTTTATATTTTTCAAAAAATCCGTTTTTTTCACCTCAAAAACTGTGGGTGAAAAATCTTGAATGTCAGCCTCGGATTTTTCAATTTGACGCTTCTCGTTTGTCAGATTGTGTGTGGGCCCACGGTATTAAAATCTTGCAGGGCATCAATATACCGAGTAATATTACCCTTCGCGAGCTGTTTGAGAACTTTTCTAGTTTTAGTATATCTCTGTTGCCGTTCGTCTTTTCGCTAAAAATATAAAATATAAAATCACCAATATTTTAGAAGTTTGAGTCATGTAAAACAATTTATTAATTTTAAGTGGCCTTAAGTGAAAGTACTAAGTACTTACTTTTAAATTTACTTTAAAGTATTTTTTTAAGTAAAAGTACTCACACAATGGTTTGTCTCAAC